CATTCATCCACGTTAAAGAATTGTGGCTTTCCAATTTGGACTTCTTAACTGGGCCAATCAATGGTTTCAGCCATACATCAGCTTGGCCAGATTTCTTCAGAAGATTACCATCCTCAGGAACCTCGATGGTAACTCTTTTCATTACCCTACTGTTACTGGAAGAACCCACTTCAACATGAGAAGTTGTAACAGTAGGGACAGTTGAGGGAATCAAAATAGCCACGGGTGAAGTAGTGGTAGCAGCAACAGGTGCGGGGAACTGAGGATCAACTGGAACAGATACAAAAAAAGAGGCAAGAGGCGTTTCCTCAGAAACAAAGCCGAACTCTTCATTATCAAACCCACGAGAAAAGAGCTGTTCTGTAGAGTCACGGGGTACGGCAGGCATCTCTTCATCAGAGCTCACTAAGGTAGCACCTTCGGGCTCGTGCATGGGAACAGAACTAAGAGGAGGAGTAGCTTCATCATTCGAAATGACACATCTCCTAGCTCGAGGATTACGAACTAACGAGCCATTATCTCGTTCCTCTTCACCCTCGGAACTGTGTGCTCTATCAGCTTTTCTTTTTGATGAGGAACTCAGGATCATCTCTTGAGCCATCGACAGAGAGAGTCTAGAAGCAGAAATCTATACGGCACTCACACCTCGAATGGAAAATCATAGTAAATAGAGGAGTTAGTAAATTTTTAAGTATAGAAGCAAGGTAGAAAGTAGAAGAGAAAGATACCATGAGTCTTCACTTTCCAACCAAACCTATTAGAAAGGTACTTCCAAGACCTTTCTTCCATAGGAGCAACAGTTAACAATGTTTTTACCTAACCACGGAAGTTTGGAATCTCCTCAACAGCTTCCATGGTTGCAAAAAAAAAAGAGAAAAGAAAAACAGTCACGAGATTGCAGGTTCTTCACAAAAAAAAAAAAAAGAGAAGGAAAAAATCTGAAAAGAAACTTACGTGCAAAGTTCTACTTTTCTGGAAAAGGCATGTTCTCTTCACCCACTAACCCATTTATGGGAGCAGTAACGAATCGGGCATTCCAACCACGATCCTTGTCATCTTCAAGGCTCACTAAAACCCACTTACTCCTGGCCACGAGAGTAAAAATCCAGAACGAAATAACTTGGGGGAATAAAGATAAATCAAATGATAGAAGGTAAAGGGTAAAGAGGCCAAGTTTGACAAGTATCTCAACCATGCCACAACTCTCCATACAATAGGGCCAATCTGTCCTAAGCAAACGTTGAAAAAATGACAAAATTCTATGATGATTGGGTCGATAGGTGGTCTGAAGCCTAATGTAAAGGGATATGTATAAACAAAAGAATAACCAACTTTGTATGAAGTGATCCTTTAATTTGTATTAGGGACTAAAATTGGAAAATCGAATTTTCAATAACATTCTCTTCGCACAAGAGAAATCAAGCCCTCAGTAATCTGGGAAGGGTAAATATCAGCACGATCATGAGAAGTCATGGAAGTAACATGATTTCTAATCGATTCTCTATCAGTAAAGAAGGAAAGTTCAGCGGGAATAATCTCATCAACAGTGGGTTCACGAAGCGGTTCACTAGAATCCCTATTTCTAGCAGAAGATCTATGAGAAGAAGAAGTTCTAGTTCTAGAAGATGAAGGGGTAGTAATACTGGATTGAGAAGAAGAACTACGGATAGATACAGGCCCTAAACTACGTAACCTGCCACCTCTTCTACTTCTGACAGGAGTAGATGAAGGGGGAAGTTCATCTACTATAACTACTTTATGAGGATCAGGATTTGGAGAAGACATAGTTGTATAATAAGGTAATATGTACTAATGAACAAGAACTATTATGAATGAAGAACACTGTAGAAAGTTTTTTCGTAAAAACAAAGGCAAAGGAGGTATTTATACGAAGAAGCAACCGTCATGTAAAGGGGGTCATGATGGAAACGTCATAATGAAACAGTCACTCTGTGACTGACGCAGCCGCAAAAAAGCCATAAAACCCACTGAAGATTTGCAGAGCCAATCAATGAATGCCATGTATCACATGCATTAAATGGAAATGACATACGATGTGTTGGTTCTAAAGAAGACACAATGTACATGAGAAACGACAGCAAAAATTCCCGCCATAAATGTAATCCACTTCCCAAATATTCAATTGCTGAATAATTGGTAAGTGGGGGGACTATCTGTATTGGTAAAAATAAATATTATACGTGAAATTAAACAGGTGGCTGATATGGCAAGGCATGTGGATCACTAAAAAAACGACAGCTGGAGAGATGCATTAAAAGAGACACGAGTCATAACATATACGAGCAAATTACCCACGAGATGAAAGGATATGGTCGCTCGAGTCGAAGTAGGTAAATGAAGAGGTACCGGCGGAATGAATCAAGACAGTAAAGAGAGAAGATTCATGAATCGTCAATTGATGAGCGTGAATGATCACAAACGTTACAGAATCTTCATGAATTGTTACGATTACCAATTATAACGTCTCATTAATATCATTAATGCTCATAATGATTCGGTCATAAAAAGGAAAAGACGTTGTACTTATAGACTCCTATATAAGGGAAAGAGATGTTACTTGTACATACACGCTCTGATTATTATTAGAATATAATTACTTTCTTGTGCTTTCTATTGATTATTTTGTCATTTCTTATTCTAATTTCCTTTCTTATTTCTGAGAGAATATTGAATTTCTTGATTATTAGTAACCCGAGTACTTCTAAAAATAGGTTTTGACTGAGAATCTAATTCTTTGGTTAAACAATTTCATCACCACAAATTTGTTTGCTATAGGTAGATTTGACTTAAATTTTAATAAATAAAGACTACATACACATAAATTAAACTATGATAAAATAAGAAAGTAATCTATCATAATAATAGCAAAATAACAAGAATGTAAAACATAAATAATTCGCGTTAATGTAGGAACGTGGGTCTATTTTCTTGAGAACGAACGAAAAAGTAAGAAATTGATCACAATTGAGCACATCAATACCATGCTAAGAATTATCTGGTATTATTGAAAGATTGTTTCGTACAAAGTGTAAATTCCATGCGAAAACTTTCGTTAGAAAAATCAATCTTAAGTAAATTGATGGTTTGAAATTACAGAAGAAAGAACATCGTCATGACACAATTCAAGAAGTATAAATAGCAGTATTCAAAGTCATTTTCCAAGAACAAACAGAGAGATAATTTTCTGGGCCCTAGACTCCCGCATCCTCTCTTTTTCCTTCAATTTCTCTGTTCGAGCATTCCCACACGTCATATGAATAACATCACCTCGTGGTATATTTAATTGGCCTCCAAAGACATTAGCACTGAATGCTTTCTAATTGTATTAAAAATGGGTAATAGTTGCAAGATCAATTATTTTGGAGAATCTGTCACTCAAATAATTTTAGAGTCTAGAAATCCTGTTTTCGAATTTCTAAAACACTTCAGGGGAACATTCTAGTTTTGAAGGAATACCAAGATATGCTAACTGATGCAATCGCTCAGATATTGCAAATACATAGAGTGATGAGATTATGAAAATAATGATAGTGGATTATATATAAGAACAAAAGTAGTTGATGGATCTACATTAACATATTGGGTACAACTTTTCTTAATGGTTGTGACTATTATGAAATTTAGGCTTTTTAGGCTTTAGTTTTTTTAATTCAATTAAATATGATATTTAGTATAAATAAGATGGGCATTTTGGTAATATAACTTTTGACTTAAGGGCTTCCCACTTTTAATATAGCATAAATAGATATAGATTATTATTGATGTGAATGCTAAGGGTAGTAGGCTATACAAATTATTCATGTATAGTTTAAAGATAATGAGTTTGGAATTGGTTTAAAATTTTGTTTATTCTTCAACCATTTACACATCGTAAAATTCACTGGGTCTATTTATTGTTTATTATATGAAGTTACTCATCATGTATGTATGTATATATGTATGTATATATTCGAATATATTTTCTTATTGTCTGGTTAGTATAGTATTTGATCGACTAACTTAAGAGTGCACAATGCGTAGGCATTTAATTAAAGGAAAGTTGAATTCGACAATGTAAAGGCTCCAAATAATTTCAACTTCTATCACTAATACTTGCAAAGTCTCCATACCATTGGTGCAATGAATTCATTAAAGTTGGGTTGTTGTAAATACTTTTAGAATTTAGACAAGTTACCTAATTTAGATTCTTCAGTTTACTGTACTTTGTTTATTAACTGTTGTATTATTTTAATATTTCTTTCTCTTATTTATTTTTTTCCAATTAAGAAAACAGGTAAACGCCAATTATTTCGAAAATAGTAGATCAAGAAAAATAATAAGTGACTTAATTAAAATGATTTGGGAGACTCTGGGTCACCTGATGAATTGAGGGGTAATTTTTAAAAGTTTGCTGAAGTCAGGGGTAAATTTGGCCGGATAATATAACCGGTAGAGATAAATTTGGCCGAACAGTAAAACGGAGGTTAGATTTAGACCATATTCGAAAGCAATTGGGTAAATTTGGACCTTTTTTCCTTTTTTTATATGGTTTTAATCAACCATCTTTTGGTGGTTAAGAAAACCATTTCTTATCCATGCTGCTACTTAGATACACTAAGGGGAGCCTTGGAGCAATAGTAAAATTGTCTTTGTGTGACATATAGCTAACGGGTTCGAGTAGTGGAAGCAACCACTAATAATTATATTAAGATAAGCTGTCTACATCACACCCCTTGGGTACGACCCTTCTCCGGATCCTGCGTAAATACGAAATGCTTAGTGTATCGGGCTACTTTTTTTTTTTTGTTTCTATTAGATATATGGAATGATAATGAAAACTAGTTGGTTATGAAGTACTAGTTGGTTGTGGCTAGCCATTGGATTCCTCTTTTATAATGTCTCTTTTTTCTTAATTCTCTAATATCCAGTAGCCTCATTCACTATATTACGAGAGAGGAGCAGGTGACTTGAACCAATTTTGGGTTAGTTGGGTTTCTCCAATAATTTTACACTTTTAGGTTGAGTCTAATTTCCAAATCCTAAAACCAAGTTGAAAAATGTACTGCTTCTCAATATCTACAATAATTGTAAATCTTGTTGAACTACTTCACACATTTCAAGCTTCTATAAACAAAAAAATAAATATTACTGTATTACAGTTTCACAAATTCATTTCGATCACCTGAATATCTGGTTGTTATTTGTGCTGCTTTTATATAGTTCTCGCTGTTGCGCTTCTTATTTTTCTCTTCTTTAACGTGATGCTTATGCTTCTCTGAGCCGAGGTCTATTGGAAACGGCCTCTCTATCTCCACAAGATAGGGGTAAGGTTACGTATACACTACCCTCTCCAGACCCCACTATGTGGGATTATACTGGGCGGTTGTTGTTGTAGTTGTTGTTGTACAGTTTCACAATATTTTCACACAGAAAAATCTCTATTCTTTTCTTTTGTGGAGTCCACGATATTGGCGTAAAGAATCTGATTCCAAACATCAGGCACACCAGGAAGACACCAATGTACACAATCTGCATAACTCCTTGGATTTAACAATTGTTCTTTTGTTAGAGCAACCCAATTCCTCTTGTAAATTGATGGATGTGCATCTTTTCTATAATCTGATAGCTGTGTTATGTTAAGATATTGTATATCTACACCCCTTTTCTGCAGCCCATTTACAGCTTTCTCTGCTATTTCCATCATCTTTACATCATTTTCACTTCCCCAATACTGTTTTCTTGATATTGGTTCTGTTTCATTATAGCAATTTTGATCATTTCCCATGCCCCAATCTGTAGCACTGCATGTAACAAAACAAAAGACAATAAAAAATCAATCTTTCATTGTTTATAAAAGTACTTAGATTAATATGGGCAAACAACTTAGTCATTATCATACTTTCTGTGAGGAGGAGAGAGGCTCATGAAAAACAATCTTGTCCTTTTTCTGTCAATTTGAAACTCCAACCAATCTGACCATGTTCTTAAGGCCATCTCGTAGCGGCGCAGCTTCATTCCAACCTTCTTGTAGATTGCATCAGAGCTTTCAAAAGATCCCCACCTGTGTAAAGTTGGCATGGATATATGAAAAGTTCAAGTTACAGTATCAAAATATTTACACACCCAGATCACTTATAAGGCGACCTGATAAAAAACGGTAACTTATGTTCACTTAAATCCAAATATGAAATGCTTGGTATAGACTGTGAATTCTAAAGGAGTGCTTATTTTGGTGGAATAAACTTACAGGAGTGTCATTTGGGATTCTAGCCACCAGGTGAAGGAATCAAAGATGAGAATATCAGCATCAATCCAATGCCTAGCATGCTTTTCAATTGCCTCAATTCTGATAATTCTGTCCCTTACACGGTGCTTCACTGGATCATCGCAATTTGATTCCACTAGCAATGGCGACCAGTAGAAATCAATTGTTGCATTGTATTCCTTCATCATGTTTAGAAAATGAAAATTTTAGCCACACAAAACAAATATTTCTCTTGAAGCTGGAAAATCTAAGCCAGTTGATATAAGTAATATATGAATATACCACCTAACAATCAGGCAATTTTAGCAAAGGCATCTCTAACAAACACTAGTGACAGACAGATGCAACAAATACAGCATGAGAAACCGCCTAAGAGTAATGTGGCCTAATAGTTATAAAGTGGAACAAAAATCATGGAGACAAGAGTTCAAATTCCAATAGACACAAAAAACGCTCAGTGAATTCTTTTTATGGAAAAGGGCCTAAACTATCCTTATCGTTTGCTAAATGGTTCACATATACCCTCTGTCCGTCTATCCGTCCAAAAAAAGTACGATGTTAATTCTACTAATAAAATTGCCTCCACGTCTAACGGCAGAACCCATGGGCAGTTTTTTACTGGGCCACGTGGCAAGCTCGGGCTGAAACAAAAAAAATGGGTCTTATTTCAACCCACCTATCTGATACGACCCTAACTTTTCTTACCTAGGTAATAAAATTCACATTTTTATCAGTACTGGTAAAAGGTAGCCGGTATCGAGAAAAAGGATTGCTTTCCATAAGAGCAAGATCAATAGCTGTAACTGGCAAACTAAATCTTAGATGTTGAGAGAGAATAATAATTACCTTGACCTCAAAGGTGATCAAGTTGCCTTTCCAAATAGGTGATTTAAGAGATGGAATTCCTGAGGATTCAATTAAGCATACCATAGAAACCCATTGGTTCTTATTCAATGAATCCCCAACAAATAACACCCTCTTCCCTTTTAGCTTCTCCAACAATGCTTTGGCATTAAACCTACAATTTCATAACATAAATACATATATTAAAATTCAAGAAACACAAAGAAAATCCAAGATTTTTTTTTTAAAATTTGAGTTTAGTACCTTGGAAGATCACAATCATAAGGTTGCCATCTCCAATGTTGAAATTTTGAGTCTTTTCTTCCAAACTTATGACAAGCAAAATCATCAGTCATAAAAGAACATTGTTGTTCTTTGTATAGAGGATACGAGACATTATCAAAAACCCAACTTCCAGAAAATAAATTGCATTTTGGTTCTGGAGATGAGTTTTTTCTTGTAGGGTTATTCTCTAGAATGTTACCAGCATTATTACTATCCCCTATAAGATAAAAAGACACAAAAAGAAAGACCAAGAGGAGGATTCCTAAAATAGAATGCAGATTATATTGGACAATCCATGATTTATGTACTACTTTTTCTGCACTTGCCATAATATCCCTCTCAAAAAACCACTTTTAATCTTCTTATGAGGTTACTGATACTTATAGTAAGAAGGAGAAGCAGAGTTGTTGAATTTGAAAGAAATTTCAACTGCTTTTCTTTTCTTGATTTGTCAGTCTGAGTTAGTAAATAATCTTTGCCTCTTTTTTTGCAAAAAGAAAACTATCACTAAACAAACAAACAAAAAAACTGAGGATTATTAAATAAAAATAAAACAAAGGCTGGTCAAAAACTAGTAGTACTAAGAACTATTAGCTGTGATTTAGTTGGTTTTATTTGACTTTTTCTGATAACTCATGAAACTACTTCTCTAACCAATTTAATATGTTTACGTTCACCTAATCTATAGGAGAGATTTAGTGAATTATGAGTTTCACTTAATCTGATTATGAGTCTGTTTAAGTCTTTATTGTGGATTTGTGGCATCTAATTAATTAGAAGACGGAACATGCAGCAAGATGTTGTTGTTTCTTTAATTTCTATATGTCTGCAATTCTATTCTATTTAATTTCTGTTTAGAGATGCGCAATCTTTTTTTCTCTCTCTTTCATTTTTTTAAAATATTTGTTACGATAGTTTATTGTTATTTCTGTAAGATTCTTCCTATGTCTGGCGATAAACGTGCTGAAATTTTGACGAATGTTTGTTAATAATACAAGCACATGCATCCACCTTGTAAAACGTACAACCTCTTATGCTACTCGAGATTAGTAGTTTCTCTTTATTCTTATTTCTTTTTAGGAGTCGAACATTCTAATTTATAAATTTCGTTTCAATTAACTTGTTAACGACGCTCTAAATTATATGTGACATTTGAAATTCATATATTTATTCAAAAAGATTGATGGGGGTTTGATTTCACACGAGTACAAAGTTGCAATATGAAAACCGCTGAAGTTGCTAGTTTGACTTAAAACCAATTGATTTGTACTCAACTTCTAATTCCATTTGATTTGTGAATATCCAAACAACAATATAGGCTGGTGCACGTGGGGCTCTAAGATAGAGAGAGAGATAGAAATTTAAATAGGAAAAAAGAAGAAGAAATAGACAACCTTTTCCTTCAAAAAGGAGTAATGTTTGAATAATCCTGACTATGCCAAAGAAAGAGATGCCAAGCCAATATATAACGAAAACTCAGTACATTTACGTATTTTCTTTAGGGCAAAATACAAAATTAATCAGCAGCTAAAAATATATATTCCTTTATTCTTTACGTGTTATGGGAATTTTAGATTTTAGTAACGTGTCTCGTATTACTATTTTTGAGAAATTTGTTAGTAAACTTATTATTTCGTAAAAATATTCACAGATAGAAATTGACGATACATATTGATAAACACTTGTACAAGAACAAAATATAAGCAGTGGCCTCAAATCATCCTATAGGAATATTTGTGCAAATCTCGTGGCTTTGGTTAATGTGAGCTGAAGTGGGCTGCGGAAAAAGGAATTTTGGGTTTTGTTTGGGCTTGCCGGCATAGTACATTGCGGGCAAGAATGGGATTTAGGGGTTTTGGGCTTTTGATTTATTTTCCTTTGCTTTCCATTTTCTTGTCCTTTGCTATAGATTAGTGATGTTTTATACTTCAATACCACACAAGAAGGGGTGATTTGAAAGGTGCCTAATTTTCACGTGTAATGATTTATAGAAGGACCTGGTTCTTCTATGCGTTCCTTAAACTACATTTGTGGAATAAGTAAAGCAGAAAGTAAAGAACACAAGTATTTTTACGTGGAAAACACCCGGCTCAACAGGAGAAAAAATCACGACCTACTTTCCAGCAGGATTTTCCCAAAACACTTCACTATAACTCTGAGCCAAAAATAAAGTTTACAAACTCTTGCAAACCTAGGGATTAATTCTAACCCTTGTAGCAACACACCACACGTTGTTGCGACTACTTCAAGTTAACTATAACATGAATGGTACAACTCAAGTACCTAGTGCAAATGCTTCTAAAGAAAGCTGAAAAACACAACTCAAAAGCTCCTACTATAATTGAACTAGAATTAAAGACAAACATACAGAACTGGTTCTTCAATCTAATTCATGTAGCTTCAGGTTCGCACCCTTAAGGCTCATAGGAATTACTCGCAAAATACCTTACTATTTTGCTCTCAATTCTGCTTAAGTTCAGTATATGTGCGATCCCTGTAAAAGATAACATACTATTATACATAGAGTTAGTAGGATTAGGATTAACTAGAGATCTGATGCTTTACTCTTCCTTGGTAGAAGAGTTTTAGTTAACTTCAACTTCTAACTTTTTTCTTATTTTGGATAGAGTTCTCTTCAAGTAAGGAGTCTTGCTCCTTATCAAATAAGCAATATTTTTGTTCAGGGATTATCATAAATAACCACTTATACTTATCATTTTCATGTGCATGTCTTTTGCTTAATTTTGACTGTAACCTGTGTACAGCGTCCATAGACCTGGTTCATGCATGTGTTCCTTTGTCAATCATCAAAACCTAAGCCGCTCGGGTCAACAATTGAAAAAACAGCAAGAACTATTAAATTGAACTACCACCTACTGTAATATAATTGATGTTTTATACTTCAATGCCACACAAGAGGGGGGTGATTTATGTGGTGTCCAATTTTCGCGTGCACTGATTATAGAAAGAACTGGTTCTTCTAAGTGTTTCTTATATTACTGTTACGAAAATAGTAAATACGGAAAGTAAAGAACACAAGTATTTTTACGTAGAAAACACCCGGCTCAAAAGGTGAAAAAACAACGACCTACTACTCAGTAGAATTTTCCCCAACACTTTACTAAATCACTGAGCCAAAATAATATTTACAAAACTCTTTATAAACCTAAGGATTAACTCTAATCCCGTTGTGGCAGCCAGCCTCTAACTGTTGCGACAACTTCAAGTTAACTCTAACTTGAATACTCAAAGTACCTAATACAATTGCCTCTAGATAAAGCTGAAAGGTACAATTTGAAAAGCCCTACTACAATTAAACTAGAATAAAAGACAAACACTTAAAACTGGTTCTTCTATCTGGTTCATGTAGCTTCAGGTTCACACACTTGAATCACACAAGAGTTGCTTGCAAAATGCCTTGCTATTTTGCTCTCAACTCACGTTTAACTTCAGCGCTTATGCGTACCTATACAATGAGAATATGCTGCAATATATAGAGTTAGTAGAATAGGAATAACTAGAGTTCTAATGCTATACTCTTCCTTGGTGGAAGAGTTCTAGTTATCTTCAACTTCTAACTCCTTTCTTATCTTGGATAAAGTTCTCTTCGAGTAAGTAGTCCTTCTCCTTATAATTTATGCAAAATTTTCGATCATGGGATATCAGATATAACAACTTAAGCTAATATCCTTCACGTTCATCCTTAATGCTTGAATCTGCCTGTGTCTGTGTACACTGTGTATGGACCTGATTCATGCTGGAGTTCCTTTATCAATCATCAAAACAAACTTCACTTGGGCCAACAAATTCCCCCTTTTTGATGATAACAAACTCTGTGCTTTTCATAAGTATAGGCCCTGTGTCAACTTAGCTCAACATCAACACAATGTTAGAACACTTTCCATTTTAAAGACACTAATCATCAAGGACAAGGTTCATTAGGTTATAAACATCACAGTCCAAAAGTAAAAAAGCACAACCTATCTTCCCCCTTTTGGCATCATCGAAAAGTTGCATAGAAATTATGTTAGATAACCAGATTTTAATAGAAATCACTCATGGACAGTGGGGCTACTTCAAATTCAATCATGGAGTCAAGTATCATTTATCAATCTAATGATATTAGCCATCTAAGAAGCATCAACAAAAGAAGGTTGATTATCATTGATACTTAGTCATCCCCAAAGCATAAAGAAAAATAAAAACACTGGACCATGAGCAAAAGAAACTAAAAAAATCTCATCCGGGTCACTGGTTGGTCTAACTAGGCTAGGAAGGTTTAAGGCTGAGAAGGACCAGGTTCTTAGTTTGAAGTAGTTTTAACATGTCATGAAGAATGCCATCATTCTTCTCCTTCTCCTTTGCTAGCTCAGCTCCGAGAGCATCTCTTTCAGTCTCCACTTCTGCCAACCTCTTCTTCAGCCTTTTAGTATCCTTAGCCCCACTTTCTTGCACCAAGGCTCGCACTTTGCTATTCATATGTACCTTTTTGGATAAACCAGGTTCTTTGGGAGTGGTGTGGACTTCATAATCATAAGCAATCAGAGTGTTTGCCCCAAAGTGATCCTTTCTTGTACCAACTTCCCATTTCTTGATGGGTACCTTGAAGTGTGCAAGTACAGCCATAAGAATAAAACCATAGGGCATGACATGAGTTTTGGTGCCAGTTAGAACCCTATTAAGAAGCTGAATAATAAATCCAGGCTAATTGATTTGCCTCCCACTGTCCAAACATTCCATATGGACCAGGTCCATGAATGTGGTAATGTGCCTCTTTTCCTGCCTAGGTAGGACAACTTTGTTAACAAATTCGAACAGCACTTTGTGGGGTGGCTTCATCTCACTTTTATACACAGCCTTGGGCTCAAGCTCTTCATCATTGTCACCAAACTTTCTTGTAATGGCAAGGGCATTAGGGAGATTCTCTAGACTTGGCCATTTGAGCTTCTTATAATCTTTGTACCCTTCAGCAGGTACACCTAAGATCTCTCCCAGTTCTTTATCATCAAAATTCACTGTCACCCCCTTTACCATACTGGTGACCCTACCATCTTTTATCTCACAATTTGCCATGAACTCCACAATCTCAGTTCTGGCCAGCTTTCCATCCATCTAAAGGACCATGTCCTTCCATCCTTGTAATTGTAACTTCTCCAACAGCATTAACATACCTTCTTCTTCCAAGACCCTGAGGAGTCTACCTTTCAAGATGGTTCTATTCCCAAACTTAACTATCTTATCCTTCTCAGCATCAGATTCTTCTTCTTCTTCTTCTCTACTCCATTCTTCTTCCTCCACCATTTTCACTTTTCTTGATTTCAATATAGACCTGGTTCTTTTAGTCAAAGTAGACGGCTCCGCAGACTTTGTTTTTTAAACAGACTTATTTGTGGAAGTCTTGGCTTTCTTTGCCTTTGGAGTCACAACTTCTATTT